AACTCACAGATTGAATTGAAACTTAGTGTATTAATGCTAGAGGTATTGTGAAGGGAGGAAAACCGGAGAAAAATCACGTCGAATCAAGTGAGAGACCAAGAGAGAGTTTTTATTTCCTATTAAGACACCTTAACGCTGTGGAAAGAAATAAGGAATTTTTTATTTTTATTTATATTTTTATTTAATTTTTTTTGCGTGGAGCTTTGAGTAGCCAGTAGTCACAAAGACAATGTAAACTGAAATTATAGCACCATGCAGAGAGGGAAATATGTAGAAGTGAAGTAAAAGCTCTTGTCAGTACTAAAATACTTACCAAATGCGTCTTTTTTATCAATACCTAAGAAATGTAAGAGAAAGGAAGGAAGGATGGAAGGAAGCAAGCAAGCAAGCAAGCAAGCAAGGAAAAAAGAAAGGAAGGGAGGAAGGAAAGATGGAAGAAAGAAAGAAAAATAATAATTAGTGTTGACCAAAGTTGTTCGTACATGCGCAGCCTTTAAATTTCATCAATACTCTGGAACAGCCTCAAGGCTGATCCAATTCAGGAAATGGCTAACTTTGCTTGTTTTTGTGGCGGGAAAGCCCAACAGCTTTCTACGTAGACGTTTTAGTGCCTGTCGCGAAAGTCTTGAGCAGAACTCTCCTTTCCAAAAAGTAGAAACGAATTCTACTTTTCGCAACAATTGCTGCAACTTCTCTGCAACATTCTTCAAAATACTCCCATTTCGAGTTCGCCTTTGCTCAGTCTTAGCCTTGATTGTGTAAAAATGTGTTCTTTTGTTTTATTAAGGTTCATTATATAGTAAGGAATGTACGATTTACAGAACAATACTAGTTGATTAAAATGCCACGGGTTTTGGTTGAATGGATGAATATTATAACGTACAAACGAGACTAAGGCTGAGCAAAGAGAACTCGAAACTGGAGTATTGGCGCTGTAGAATACACGCTGCAATGCTCCACACAACTTGTGTCACAACGCCGTCGCGAGACAAGTTCCAGAGAAAATTGCTCCGTGTTGTCGCGCCTTTAACAATACTTTTTTTGTCACGGGTTGAATGAAACGTTTAGGGTATATATATACTAACCTCTTTTTTCCCTCAATCCTCCAAACTTGCGAATCACAAACAAAACGAAGAAAATGACAGGAAAGAAGAAGCAATCGAAAGGTGTCCAAAGACTTAAGAACCACCACTTGAAGCAATCTAAGTCAAAAAGGGTGATAAATTGCCAGGAGTAGAAACGTCTTGCCCAACGTTTTCTTAGAAGATCGTACATGACTGGATGAGCTAGAAACTGACGGGAAAAAAGAAAAGAATACGTTTAACAAATAGTTTTTTATGTGTGATAAATTGCATCATCGCATCGTCAAAGTAGTGTGGATCGACATGTCTAATGTAAGTATGATAGTTCATCAGCAACATCGGATCAACAAATTGGATGATCAGTTTTTTATCATTTTTGTTATTAGTAAAAAACAAATAGACATCAGTTTTTTATGTGTCTGTCCTCTTATTAACGATAAATTGCGTCATCACATTGTCAAAGTAGTGTGGGTCCGCATACTACTTTGACAATGTAATGACGAAATTTATTGTCAATAAGAGGACAGACAGAAAAATTTGAAGTCAATTTGTTTTTTACAATGACAAAAACGATAAAACTTATCATTTTTAGTGATCAAAACAACCAACGGAAAGAGCGCGCGCTCGTTGACGTCAGCTTTATCTGTCTGTCCTCTTATTGAAGATAAAAAATAATCAATCAGCACGCGAGAAATTTGTAAGTTATTGTAAAATTGGTACTGATCAATAGTAAAAACTGCTAAATTATATTGATACAGATAAAAGAATTTGCAGTCAAGTTCAAAGACATTAGTAAAAGTCTAAAGTTTCGTGAAGACTGTAGATGATACAGACACCGTATGCATTTTGAACTTTCTACTTTCGCAAAGAAATGAATGGTATTTTTTGTAAAATTTCAAAAACTCATGAAAGGCACGATTACACGGAGCAATTATCTCTCCAACTTGACACAGGCAACAGCGTTGCGACACAAGTTGCAGAAGTGTTTGACCGGCACGATGTATAGAAGACGTAAAAAATATTCTCATTTCGAGTTCGCCTTTGCTCAGTCTTAGCTTCCATTGTGTACAAATGTGTTCTTTTCTTTCACTAAGGTCCATTGTATAGTAAGGAATGTACGAACTACGGAACAATACGAGTTGATTAAATGGGTTTATTAAAGTGTGTACCAAAATTTACATTGTGTATATACAATATATAAATGAATAATAAATTGGAATTACAGCTAATAAATAAATAAATGCCACGGGTTTTGGTTGAATAGCTGAATATTATAATGTACAACCGAGACTAAGACTGAGCAAAAAGAACTCGGAACTGGAGTATTGCGTCAACTTGCCTCGCATTTTTTTTCGAATTGCACTGCAGGTTACACGCTGCAATAATGCTCCATGCAACTTGTGTCACAACGCCGTTGTAATGGCGCCTTTACTAATATCTGTATGGCAGTTGAATATCAACTCCTTTATTAGATTAAAAAACTTATATGAAAAACTTATATTTTACAACCACCACTCCCCAAACGGGTCTCTTCCGTGGGGTTCCCTCCACACGCACTAACACTACAGTCTATATTTACAACATACAACACTCAACTCACATGTTGATTTTTATGGAGGGAGGAAAACCAGAGAACCTGGAGAAAAACCCTCGTGGCAAGGGAGAGAACAACACATCAAACAAACTCAACTCACATGTTGATTTTTATGGAGGGAGGTAATCCAGATAACCTGGAGAAAAGCCCTCGTGGAAGGAGAGAGAACAACACAGCAAACAAACTCAACTCACATGTTGATTTTTATGGAGGGAGGAAAACCAGAGAACCTGGAGAAAAACCCTCGTGGCAAGGGAGAGAACAACACATCAAACAAACTCAACTCACATGTTGATTTTTATGGAGGGAGGTAATCCAGATAACCTGGAGAAAAGCCCTCGTGGAAGGAGAGAGAACAACACAGCAAACAAACTCAACTCACATGTTGATTTTTATGGAGGGAGGAAAACCAGAGAACCTGGAGAAAAACCCTCGTGGCAAGGGAGAGAACAACACATCAAACAAACTCAACTCACATGTTGATTTTTATGGAGGGAGGAAAACCAGAGAACCTGGAGGAAAACCCTCGTGGCAAGGGAGAGAACAACACATCAAACAAACTCAACTCAAATATGATCCAGTCTGAGCCAGGGCTCGAACGCGGACCACAGCGGTGAGAGGCGAGTGGTAAATCACTACGCCACCCATGCCATCCATCAAAAACACATTCATTTCTCCAAAGCGTAAAGACCTCAACAGTAGTGAATAGCGTCAATACGTATACGTACTTTTTTCTGCTTCAGCAACACAGCTTTTTCAGCGATGTGATCAAATTCTTTGCCTTTGAAGATGGCTCTTTTGATAATATCGTTCTTGAGAGGCTCGATAAGGTAGAATGCGTACTCCTCCATGGAAGTGCCGATGACTTTTAATTCTGCTTCATCTACACTGGAATACTGTGCTCTTTCTTTTAACCTAAAGCTGTACTGCGATGGGAAGTGATAATTGTTATAAATCTCGTGTTTTGATTGGCTGGAAGAGCGTGCTTAATGAGAGCACACAGCACGCGCGCGCGCTTTCAGTTGGCCTCATTCCTATCTAAAAGTTTTTGTAATTCGTATTCTATAAAAGAAATTTAACAAATGCACATCAGTTTTTTATGTGTCTGTCCTCTTATTGACGATAAATTGCGTCATCACATTGTCAAAGTAGTGGCTACGCCTCGTGGATCCACAAACTACTTTGACAATGTGATGATGAAATATATTGTCAATAAGAGGACAGTCACATAAAAAACTGATGTCTATTTGTTTTTTACATAACAAAAATGATAAGAACTTCTCATTTTTAGTGACGAAAACAACCAACGGAAAGCGCGCGCGCTCGTTGACGTCAGCTTTATCCGTCTGTCCTCTTATTGATGATAAAAAAATAACCAATCAGCGCGCGATAAATTTGTAAGTTATTTGATAGATAATTACTGAGGCACGCAGCATTCGTAGGTATAATGCAGGCAGCTGAGGGCGTAGCCCGAAGCTGCCTGCATTATACCTACGAATGCTGCGTGCCGAAGTGATTATCTAGTATAATTATTGTTCTTATCAAAATCCAATTGTTTTCTTTCTAGCTTGTTTATCATAGAAACAAAGCCAATAATGAATGAACTAAATATGTCTGATTTATTTTTTCGTACTCACTTCCATCGCCTTTTCAAGACTGTTTGTTGGTTGTCCTTTCAACATGCTTGGCTTTAACAGCTTCACCCTATCAATACCACTTTCAATCATCTTATTCACCCATTTCTCCTTTCCTGAAATTGGATGTTAAAGATCACTAGCGCAATTTTACTTCGTCCGTGAAAAAATAGTCAACGTAATAAAAAGTAGTCTCCAACGCAGCCGCTAATACCACACGGTGCAACATTACGCGCAACATTGCACGCAACAAATTTGAATCGGGGTGACACACATTGCAACGAAATCACGCAACATCGCTTGTGTCAGCCTGCTATGTTAAGGATATTTGGTCCGCAGTTATAATTTACTTTGACTGTTAGTCACTAATTATACGACTTCATTTCACGGGCGGCCAAGTAAAAAAATTCCTTTTCCTGGGCTGAAGAGCTTTTATTTCGCTTCTCGTAACGAGCGAGCACCGAGGCATTTCCCTTCAAAACAGCAAACTAGACGCCGGAGGGAAAATAAATAACATCTTGAACCCAGGGTTAAAACAACTTTACTTCAGTGAAGAGTGGGTTTACATAGCTAGAGAGCATTCGAGTGATTCGGTGCTTTCGAAATGAGGCTTAGGAAGTCAGTTACCGTAACATTTGCGTGTGAACACGAACGGCGAAAACTTTCCGATTTCGTTCCAGTTTGAAAAAAGCATTTCAAGGTTTTCGCGTGCAGAATTATCAAATTGCGTTGATTGGCAAATTTTGCTTTCTTTTGACATTTTGTCGTCTTTTAAAGCGCAATAGAGACGCGAAGTTACGTCGTTAGAAAAGCAACTTTTTGAACTTGAACGAAATGAGGAAAATGTTCGCCGTTGGCGCCGAAACACACATGCAAAAGATTCAGGCTTGTGTATATGAGATGAACATACTTTGCTTCTTTTTATATGCCAAGTCATCATGTGTGTTTTCACTGCTTCCTGTGGAAAATAGAAGATTTAGAAAGAAAGAAAGAAAAAAGAAAGGGAGGAAGGAAAGAAGGAAGGAAGGAAGGAAGGAAG